TTACTAGGTTTCTAGCAATCTCTAAGGTCCTCCTTAATAGAGGTTGCCTTTGGTGTTTTCCCTACTATAGGGTATCTTGGCACTGCTCCAATAAATGGAGAGAAATTGCTCCTTGTCCTAGTATGGGTAGGCCTAGGCGGTTCTTCTAGTTGCCTGTTAGGGCAAGGCGTAGAGGCCTCCTTAGCCATCTTAATTTCTAGATTATTATCTATTAGTCGTTTGCTTGTGCCTCTAAGGTCCTTTGAGGCTAGTCTTTTTTGTTATTTTTATTATTTTAATATGTCTATGTTTCTTGCTAAATTTAAGCTTTAATAAGCTCCTGCGTTCCTATTAGCCCCTCTAGTCTTAGCATTAGAGCCTAAGCTCTATAAGAAAATTCTCACAGGCGTGAGAAAACAAAGGAAGGCCTCCTTCTTCTCCCTACTGCGCGCTAGCGCCTTAGCTGCAGGTGTTAAAAATGCTGTTAGTCGATTCCTCGTGGTCGGTTCTCCTAGATAGCGTGCTTTCCTAGCGGTTTCCAGAAAACTCGAAGTTGGTTGTTGAGTACCAAGTAGTAGTATGATGGGGTGAGCCAGATAGATTGTGTGCTTACGCATGTCACATGATCATTGTACATCAGGGTTTCACGTGATAATTCATTTTTCTCGGGAATTTTGGAACAACCAAGCATGCTGAGCTCAAGACCAATCCCACTACTTAACCAGGTAGACGATAAAATATACGCTTCGTGGGGTATATTAATACTAGACAATTCTTTCTCCATTAAGTAGCTATTACACCATTTAGGCAATCATTCCAGCCGCGCAGTTGCCGCGCAGTCCATCTTCAAAGTTACTATTAAATCGCTAGCAAGGGTCGAAAACAAAAAGGAAAGGGAGATTCAGAGTGGGCGTAGAGCCCCACTGCGGTCGTCTGCCCATCGGCATGCGATAGCTTGGCGCATACTTTTTCCCCAGAATGCGACCGGCATAGCGACGAGCCCACCAAGAATCTGGAAGCACATGAGCTGGAAACCGACCCAAAGGTATCCTTGGGCCTTGATCCAAGGCTCGAGGGCAAAGCTCAACGCAAAACTCAGCAAAAAACAACCTCCAATGACTACGGCAAGTGCTGGAGCAGCCCATCTTGGGAATGCCTCGGCGACCCAAAGAGTGTTTGCAGTCATCAACATAACAAAGGAAAAACCGTTGGTTCCGTAAGTCAGATATAGAGCGGCAGGATGCCATTGAAACCTGACTGCAGCGCCGTACAGCATAGAGCTGAAGGCACCGAAGATGACTGGCAGAATGTAAGCGATGAGGTAGTGCTCGGCCTCTAGCACACCGCGGTTGCGCTCAGAAAGTCTCTTAAGAGCATTACAGACAATTATCCAGCACGCTGGAAGTGCCAGTAGTGCTCCCAACCCGGATGCCATGTTGATGGTGCCCAGGAGTTCTGGCGCAAAGTTGTAGGGAGGTGCGACTAGGACGCCTATGCTTGTTCCGCCGATGAAGAGCATGCTTGCCGAGTTAAAACCAGATGCGACGAAGACCCAAAACATGAGCGGGTTGGCGGCACAGTAGGCCATCTGGACATAGCACCGGCCTGCTGAACTCCACGACGCAAAAGGAGAGCGGGAGAGGCCGACGCGGTCGCGGAACCCGGCGAACCCTGTGCGAGCAGGACATTCGGGAAGGTCTCGATATATGGTGGGGTCCACGTCGCGGTCTCGGTAGACGGTCAGCTTCTCGGTCGCGCTTTGCATGAGGATGAGGCCGTTGAAGGCCACTGTTGGTCGCTTAAAGTATGTCTCTGGGTAGAGGGCGAAGGAGACGATGAATGATATGGTGAGCGGTATAGTCCAGTAAAGGTAGAACGCGCGCCAGTTGTGCCCATAATCCGCTATAACTGGTACCAGGGCTACACCAGACGTGCCGCAACAGCCCGCCACGCACCACATGAAGGAGACTGCTCGCGCTCTTTGATTGATATAGGTCAGGTCAATCACCATAAGAAATGCCTATTGTTATTAGCAAAGAGCGCTGCAGCAATGAACTTGTCACACTAACTAGAGAGAGACCCAGAGCGTTGCCAAGGCCCAAGAAGCAAGAGGCAACAACATACTGGTAGTAGGTTTTTGCCTGAGAAGCTCCGATGGTGGCAATCAACAACAACAATGTTGCGATTAACAGTGTTGGTCGACGGCCTAGGCCTATTGATAAGGGCACCCAAACAAAGCATCCGAGACCCATGAGAAGTGTGGTGCCAGTGGCAGGAGCCCTCAACAGTGATGTTGGCACAACCTGTAGCCGCCCTTTAGTAAATCAATTTCCGGAAGGTATTTCTTCGAACTTACCTCGTATTCGAAGCTGGCCCGGACACTTTCTAGGATGACGGTTGCCGCTTGGGCAGCAGTCAAAGAAACGGCGGAGAAGAGAACAATGGAGAACATGGCGCCAGCAGTCTTCCAGGTGCCCCAGTTGAGGGGGTCACTTTTGCTTTCCGAAGCAACAGGCAGCTTGAGCGTCCGTCCATCATTAGTAATGAGGAATGTAGTGCCGGTAAGATTGTAGGATTCGCGCTTTGCAGACCTGGAGTCGCTGGCGGCTTTGGGTCTAGAGCCATGTTTGGAAAAAACAGAAAAAGATCTTGCTAGGCCTGAGGGAGCCAGGAGAGACGAGGGAGTAGAAACAGGAGATGCGAGACGAGGAAGAGCGATGGGTTCATATGGAAGAGAGGGAGCCAGCTCAATCTCAGAGTGTGGGTCGTCTAGTGGCGCAGCCTGGGTGGAGCAGGTAGCAGACGACATGATGTCCCCTGCTAAAGAATGACGAGAAACACAAACAAGGAACGCGAGCCTGTCAAAAAGCGGACCATAGATGGATGGAACGAGGTGAGTATGTCAGATAGACTGGAGAACAAAGGTAAACGGTGAAGAGCACCTTATACGAACCCCGAGCCGTTCCCTTGCCGTTCACTTGGTTGCGGGCATTGCCGTCAGCCACCCGTCGATCCTATTCTGTCGAGGGAACGTCCAAAGTCTAAAGAAAGCCTTTCTAGGGCTCTCAAACACTTAACATGGCGCCGAAAGTATACGCAGCCGGAAGAGAGAGGCTGGAGAGGTGGAATGCTTGTCGTGTAAGGGAAGCTATGCCCCAAACAAAGCAAGATGTGCGGCCATTGGGGAGCTGCTTGGTCAATGACGGAGGAAGACAGGGATTGTCACACATCAGTAAGCCCAAAAGCAGCCAGGATACGGACAGAATCAAGCCTTCTCAGAGATGCGATGGTTGCAGCGGGCGGGGGTAAGCCGGCGAGAGACAGGCTTAATGGCACTCGTGTGGCAATGGGAACCGCACAGGGGCCGGAGACCGACCGTCAGCGCTGATTCGCAGAGAGGAAACGGACTCCACGAATTCTGGGCAATAGTACGTGTGCCTTGGGTGTACATGTGCGTTCAGACATGTTCGCGTTTCGTGATCGACGTGGGTCGCTTTGGCTCGCCAGTGAGTCACGAGATGAGGAGCTGTTAGCGTTTCACGCCTTCGCATTACTTGACCGTTGGAAGCCTAGGGGACATGGAAGACCGGGGGCAGACGGGAGAATGACGCCGCTACCGCACTCGTGATCGCCGCTGTTGAAACCGCCGTGACTCGCCATCACTCACACCTTGGGCCACGGTTGACTTGACAGAAATGCTATGCCGGACAATGACATGCTGCTTGGCGGGCGAGGTGGGCTGGTGAATTGGAATCACAAGACGTGCGCACGTACTGCAGTAAGTCGTAAGTAGTTGAGGCCAAGTGCACACAGCCGGTGGCCTGGATGCAGATATCGTTGCGAGAGAGCTTGGACGACGATCCGAAGGTCCGGCGGGCGTAGGTTGCCTGTCTGGGGTAGCAAAGAAGAAACAATTGGACGCGCGCTGAGCTGAGCTGATGGCTTCCGTGGGGTTCCAGCCGGACTGAGATTCGCAATCAAGAGTAGGTAGTGTAGGTAGTCGGCGGAGTTGGGTCGCTGGGCAAGGGGCGCCAAGCCCTGTTCCCCTCAAGCTCGGCCTTATTCTCAGGGCTCATTTCCACACACCACACACAGCTCGCATCATCCGCTCCTAATCCATATTGGTTGCTTTTCCGAGCCGTGTGCATTGCTCGCTGCACTGTCCACTGCGTTTGGGCTGCACACGCAGTCCTGCATTGCAAGGCGACGCCTGGAAAGCCGACATGTTCGTACTTACAGTAGGTACTTACACACAGGCGGCCGACATGGATACTTACGCGTCAGCCTCCTGGGGCAATCAGCGATGAAAAGCTCGCTATGCAATCTCACGAATCGTGCACACAGGCGGCTCAAAATCGAATCGACGCCAGGCGAGACGGCTGGCTGGTGCCGTCTACCGACAAAGTGGCACTGAGACGTCAGTGAGTGGGATAGGGCTGATCTACGTACGCAATTCGGCGATGACTATCGACTATTTGAAACTCACAACGCCCCTTTATGCACCCCGACGCCCCTTCGCGCCATTGTACCTCTGCTTATATAGGCCGCAAATATAGCAGTACGCCGCCGCCGTCACAGCGACAGAGAACGGCGCATGTGCGAAATAGTCGGCAGGACCGCTCGATTCTGTCTCACCATCACTCTGGGGTGCAAGCGAAGTAGGAACACGCCCACTCTCTGTACTTACGCGCTTGGCAACGTCTTGAAACGTAAACTAGGCACGTCGTCGGCCATGTCCCGCAGCCCGGACATTTTGCCTAGTCTCATGCAGCCGTTGTGTGCTGCTATGTCGCCCAAGACAGTCTTGCACTTCAACGGCTCCTTACTACAGTTGGCCGTTTTGTCGCCCTGGCGTGGTTGATTTTGGGAACAAGATGGTAGGAACACTAAGTGAAGATCGGTCCGTGCATAGTCAAGCTTCTTATTCGCAAAAGCAGCTGTTGGAGGCCGTTGGAGCGCCGGAGAGAGCACTGACGCTCCATGTCACGGGACAAACATCTGACCGGGGCTGGCAAAACGAAACCCAGGCCAGACGGAGCGATGCCGTGTCGAGTTGCCATATGACCCTCGCTTGTTGGTAAGTACTTACTACCATTCAGCTCACAAGCAGGGTCCGACTTCTCACGGTTTCCGAGAGAATGCATCGACGAAACAAGCGGGACGGTATTCGGAATTGGTGTATGCACTCGTATGTCCCTATCAAACTCTAAAGTTTCTTTGATCGTAACCTCGCAACGCTTCCGCCAAGTTACGGTAAGCCTGGCGCGCCTTCGTCGCCTGGGTCGGCATACCTTACGTACCTCATCATACCCAATTGGAATGCTTAGAACAAAACAACCCATCCCAAGCTTCCATGGCCAAGGGTTCCTTGGCAACGCCAGGTTTGTTCAAAGATTTGCGTCAAGCCCGAATGTTTGTCAAGTAGACAACTCTCGGTGTAACCCAGATGAGAAGGTCGTTCATCTTCTCACGGCTCGACGCCAAGACCCGCTATCTGATTCCGGTTGATGGAATCGAAGTGAGGGAGGGGTGTGGTCATCTCAAGTAGCTACTTGGTTACAACAAAACCAGCAATGCTACGACGATTGAGTGTCGAGCATTCTCCCTCCATCAGTCAAGCTTGCCCTGAATCCGGATCCTCTCCTTTATTTTTCTTTGTTGGCCAAGCTGAAATCCTTGTCGTCATTTGACCAAGCTTTTCTTCAACACTGGTTACAAAGCTTCGGCTTTTGACCCTAAAAACTCTCGTGGTTAAGGCACGATATGAATAGAAACAACAAGGAGAACCTACAAGACTGCTGAAGATCTTGCACCTCTGCGTGTTACCCCAGGGAGCAGAGATGTCAACAATCAAGCTGAGTCAAGCTCATCAATCAAGCTGGATTGACTCAACGGTCAAGCTGAGTCAAGCCAAGCTCATCAAGCTGTATCAAGCTGTATCAAGCTCGTCAAGCTCATCAAGCTGAGCTTGATAGAGCTTGATGAGCTTGATACGCCCGTGCGTAAAAAAAGAAGAATAACTATGAACTCCTTTACGTAGGCTACTAATCTATAGTAACGTTAACTCTTACCTCTATCTCTAATACTATACGTGTCAATTTATTATATATATCTTCTTATCTTACCAATTTCTTGATTGCAAGCATGCCACCAAAAAGACGCGTCCAAGCTATTGTTGCTACCCCACCGAAGCGGTCTCAGGGCGTGCCCCGCGGTACTCTAAGCCAGCCTATATCTATCGAAAGCCCGCCATCATCCTCTCGCTTATCACCTCGTCAAGCTCTAGTTGAAGCGTCCCAGGTATCGAGCTTCGAAGCGCGGCTGCGCGAAACGCAGGCTCGAGAAGCTATCATCCCACCCGCTAACGGCAGCGAGGAGGCAACGATAGCTTCTAACGAGCTTGCTAGTATAGGCTTCGACGAACACCTAGTAGACGCCTTCAAAGGTCTTGACTGGGACCACTTTCCTCAGTATATGAAGCCTTTGGCGTCGCAGCGCGGGAAGAAAAGCTAGATATACCTTTA